CTACACTGAGCGTAGAGATAATTAACACGGACCAATCCCAGGGCTTATCACGCAAAACTCACACAAACTATCCACAATGGAGGGCGAAGGACGACGATCGGTGACAGGAGCGCAGCAAGTTGGAGAACAGCAGGCACAACTACCAAGTCGACAACTTCACCACCGCGATCTGATCTCCGATATCTCAATTCCCGTCTTCCTGTGCCTCCTTTCGCCAATGGCTTTCGCTACTGTTCTTTCTGTGAGCAGGAAAGCTCGACGACGATCGAATCGACGGAGAAATGAGCGGATGACTATCAGAAAGCAGCAGCACTGGCGCAGGGGGGGGGGAAATGAAGTAACGATTATCCCTTTATAGTCTCCGACCTCTTCCCAATTCGCTGCCTTCCTTTCTCTATCGACGGCGAAAGGGGAACGGAATGCCAGCTATAACAAGCGAAGATGGCGGCATCAGAGGTTTCGGCTTTTCTTATTTCTTTCTCTATCTCTCTCGTCTTTTCAGATCAATTTCGCTGCTTCTGCGCAACGCAGCTGATGACGCCGCGGCCTTGCTTCCTGTTTTCCTCTCTCTGCCTGCCCTGCCGAAAACCCTTTGCTCGTCTCTCTCTCCTCCGAAATCCGAATGCCAAAATCTCGCGAAAACGACGCCAGTTCAGGAGTGAAACGACGATTCGTCTCTTTCAAGCTTTTAACGCCGGAAATGAAAAAAAAATGAAAATGGGAGGGTGAGTAACTTTTGAGTGGGTTGACTTCCGGTTAAGGTTGTGAAAGAGGTTGATATAGCCGGTTTAACAAGTGAAATGATTTGATTTGTAGTATAATTGGTTTATATCAGTGTAATAAAATATGTAAAAATGTGAAAAACTACTAGTATCAAGTGAATTTAATCATATGTAGAATATATATGTGAAGACAATTTACTTACAATTGATATTCATATTTTAATAAAATACGACTTTTAAATAAAATAACAATTGCTCATATTTAAATATACTATTTGATGTCAATAGTAAACATTGATACTTGAATCCAACAATATAACTTTAAATTCATAAATTAAATAATAATTTATGTTATGAATTAAATTCACTAAAACGACGTCTTGTTGCCTAGAGGTCATAAATCGATCGTGTCGGTCATACCGGTGGTGATCATACTGGTTTCATGACCGGAACTAGTTTAACCGGCCAACATTCCACCAGGGTGACAACCATGCTTTCGCTAATAACATCTCTACTAAAGTTCTAAAATTTGGAAAAGAATGTACTCCAATGGTAAGACCAAAATGCCAAAGTACTAGAAATTGGGATAAGATTTAACAGATAAGAGGACAATCAGGAACGGAAATCGATAACCCCTTCAATGGAAGACAATGGACGAACTAGACAAGAAGAGGGGGTCGCACGCATGGAATGGAAGAAATAAGTTAATTTAGGGTCACTCGAACCTTTCTTTCATAGAACACCCTTGTATACAGAGTATTCTTAAATCCCAGATTCTTGTATCAAAAGTAAGACACTAAATTGATTCCAACCCCCAAATCACATAATGAGTGATTGAATTCATTACTAACTCCAATGACAAAAGGAATGCTGAAACTCCCTGGATCATCCTTATTTTTTGGAAGCTTGTTCTGAATAACCCCATTACAATTTGAAGTAATAGTCACTTTCTCCAAATCAACCCACCTTCTTTTCTTAATGATAAATTACCTTACTAGTGCATCAAACTTGGCATTTATACGAGCTTCTGTATCAGCAAGTTTATCAACTTCATGAATACCTCTTCTTCTATAGCTCTTTTCTCCACCCCACTAATTGGCATCTGAACACATCTTCTCAATCAGGTCATATCCAACTCCCGACTATAAAGAAGTAAATCTTCCACCAAATGCATTGTTCAGGATTTGTCTGAACTCCCTCCTAATCCCATAAAAAAATGGTAATTAATGACATTCCTCTCATCCAAACCATGGCTTGGGCACTTGAGTAGTAGTTTTCTATAACTTTCCCATGTTTTGAAGCTGAAGTGTCCCTCTACACATTAAAGTACTTGGGAGCTCAATAGAAAGTCCAGATGACCATTTTTGAACCTGACCAAAAGGCTATGCCAAAACTGGGAAACTGGCTGAAAATGGCTAAGTCTGGCAACGTGTTTGTCAAGCCTACTTTGGAGCTCAATTTGAGAAGCATGGATGCGAGTCAAGTCCAGGGGTACTCTACCACGTTAAATTACGTATTTTATTATACAAAGGCAAGGCATTGGATGAAAGATTGAATATCTTTAAGGCTTCAAACAAAAGGCTCGAAGTTGCTACGAAAGCTGTTTTCTGGCAGCTTGCTTGTGCTCGAAGTCTGTCAGAAAAACAGCCTTCGTAGCAACTTCGACCCTTTTGTTTGAAGCCTTACATATATCCAATCTTTCATCCAATGCCTTGAATTTGTATAAAAACATACCTAATGTAACGTGGTAGAAGCTCCTGGACTCGACTCGCATTCATGCTTCTCTAATTGAGCTCCAAAATAGGCTTCACAAACACGTTTCCAGACTTAGCCATTTCCAGGCAGTTTCCCAGTTTTGGCATAGCCTATTGATGAGGTTCAAAAATGGTTTTCTGGACTTTCTATCGAGCTCTCTTCCACTTTAATATGTAGAGGGACACTCCAGCTTCAGAACAAGTCATTAGTCTTCAATTTCCATCTAGCCAATTGTATGATATGAATATCCAAAGTGGGCACCATGAACTGTTTTTACACTGAATCCTAACTGAGGTCGACCGGAAAGTGCAAGTCACCGTGACATGCATGTCACCGTAGGCACACCCTTCAAATTTTAAGCAAATAAACCAAAATGGAAAAATATCAAAATGTATAGAAGTTATTGTTTGGGTATTGATAAAACGCAATTTGCTTCAACATATGTCTAGTATTTTTCATAAAAATTTATTGAAATAAGCTAAAGATGTTCATTATAAGCTAACACATTCATAATATGTTATTAGTTTTGTGCCCGCCTGATGGGCGTTGATTGTCATTTGTTTATATATATTTTCTTCTATTATCTGTCATTTTTTTCAATGTTATCAAATTCTTATTTTTTATATTTATTTATTATTGTAATCTATTATCCGTGTTTTATCAGGAGTGCTACATTTAATTCAGGTTTTAATCATTATCAATAATAATATCAAATAATAAGAGTTGTAACAAAGGTTTACAAAAAATTAGTGGGTTGCCAAGATACAATCTAAGCCCACCCCTTAGCTATAGCAAAGCCAAGTTTAGTAAAACGTATCATCTCCAATCAACTATAATTTTCATAAATCCTTATGAAATCAATTTTTTAAGCTTTAAAAAGTTCTCTAATTTTTTTTTTAAATTGAATGGAAACAAACCCAAGTGGGTAGGGGTAGAAATCGGTACGGTATCACTATCCCAATACCAAATACCGAATTACATCCTAAAATCAATCCCAATCCAATCCCTAAATAATTTCAGTATCACAATCCCAATCCCTAAATATTTCGGTATCCCAATCGGTATTATTGAATAAAAAAATTAATTATCTTTGCAATTAATAATTAAATATATAAATTAGATTTGATTGTTTAATTTAGAGCAAAGAGACTAAGCAAAGAGTGTTGAGTTTGCCTAGAGCTATGATATGGATAAGGATAATAGAGGAGAGGTGACATCTCAAATTCTTGTCATTGGTAAATCTTTAATTTGACGAATTGGAGGCCGAGAGGCAACTAATACTAGTGTTTATTTTTTGGTGTTATGAAAGTAACATGATAGTGATGACAATTGACAATTTGAACCCGCCCCGCAGTAACGTGGGGCGGGGCATTAGTATATACTTCAAACCCGTCCTGCCCCGCCCCACTCCGTTCTTGACCCATTCTTTCTCAATTTCTTACAGTATGCATACTATTTCTCCTATTTTGACTTTACTTCAACTAGTTATAGTCGATCTTTCAACTTGTTAGACTCAATGCCCATTGTATAATCTCTATTTTTCATTCATAAAGTGTTTTCACATTCGTTTTATCGTAAAAAGCAAAATTTGTGTGTATTTTTTGCAAATAACATGTAAGATTTGAGGTACCGGCCCCACCCCGCCCCATTGCCATCACTATAACATGAGATTAGGTGAGAGACGAGAGTGACTTAAACTGGAAAGTCAAACTTGAGTTGGATGGGGACTTCTAAAGTTGTGAAAGAGTTAGGAATGACCAAGCTTGTGTGCTAATTTTTAATATTCAGTATTACTCGGTATTTCGGTATATACCGATCCCATTTCCCTAATACCGAATACCGAATAACACTCCAAAATGAATCAAAATTCCAATCCCTAAACAATAAGTCGGTATTTGATAATATCAAATAATTATAAATTCGATTGTATTCGGTATATATCCCAAATACTGGTACCAAACTTCCAGCCCTACAAGTGCCACACACACAATATATGAGATTTAGTAACACCATAAAAGAAAAACAAAAAAATCACTACGTGAGATTTAAGGTTGTCAACCCGCGGGTCGACCCATTTTAACCCTGGCCCGGTGAGAAAAACGGGCCACATGCACCCGCCTGGTCGACCGCTACAAGGTACCGAGTTGGAGGTCAAATCGTGTCATTTTTTTATTTGGTTTGCGAAATGTGCCTATTTTTCGATTTTTCTTTTCGCCTAACTCAATCTTTGGAATCCTAAGTTGAGCATTTGAATATTGATGTTATATAAGTGTGTGTGAATTTTCACTATATGTTGGATCTAAGTACTACATGTTATTTTGATGTAATATTATATGTTATAACTCATATGTTAGATGAGATTTGATATAATTTATCAGAATAAGTACAATATAATGACTCTTTCCATATTTTCGGACTAAATCGGGCTAAAACAGGTGTCCCATTAACTCTTGACCCACTAGCTCAACCGGGTCCGGTTCACCCGCTAGTTGATAACCTTGGATTTAACATATACAACAACACACCCAGTCACTGGACCGAGCCCCATACAGTTCTCTTTTTTTTTTGGACGGGACCGATACACTCCAGTTACTAGCTCTGGTGATGGCAGAGGAGAAACAGGATGCCACCCAGCCGGCGGCAAAGGCCCCGGCGGAGATCAATGACGCGCCGCCAGATGTCGAGTCCCAAATCAGGACTGCTATGCGGTCTCGCGTCGACTTCTTCAAAGATCAAGCAGAGTATTCTTCCCCTCTCTCTTTCGCTCTTTGAATTTTAGGGCTTTGAGTTCCGCAGCAAGTTCAGCGCCTCGATTTTTACTTTTATGCTACCAAGTAGTGTGATTTCAGTACTGTTGGTGTATACTCGAGCCAGTCCAGCTAATAACTGTTTCTTTATAGCGATACAAGTAGGTTTAGACAGCAATACTTTGAACTTTGAACTGCTCTCGGCTCATTACCCTCTAGTTTCTTCGTTTTTCTTAAGTTGCTTTCTGGAGTTGTTAATGCCGCTATATTGGAACGTTGCCCACTTGTAGTTCTCTGACATTTGAGGGAGTAAGGAGGGTTTTGGAAGAGGACTTGGGTCTGGAGAAATTTGCCTTGGATGTGCATAAGAGATTTGTGAAGCAATTGCTGCTGGAGGTAGGCCGCTCTCTTCCCTTTAGGTTAAGAAACTTTTCCTATTGCCTGGGGAATTTTGCGTGATGGATTTGAAGCTCTTGCGTTTGTCCCCGACTTTGTCTTCTGTTTTGGTTATCGTACTTGCGGACATCTTTTCGTTTACTTCCAAGTAATGCTTAGTATATGTCGATCAACATAACAATTAACAAGTGATTTTGGAAGCATCAAGTGTGGAATTCATGGATGTACTGGCTCTTGACTTGGCTATCTGGACTATGTAACTGCAAGAGAATCATTGTACCTAAAGTTGTTTGTTACGCAGTTGAATATTATATCAACATCACTGCTCAGACTGTTCGTTTTGACTGCCTGCAGCACCACTTGATTCCAATTTCTATTTGGATATTTGAAAATTATATATATTGTTATTTACTGTGCACTAGTAATTTTTGTCTCGCCACTGCTTGATTGGCATAGCTTGATTTATCTGTATCATTCTTATATTAAAGTGTGATTTGGTTCAACAACAAACCAAACCTTCAGTTCAGTTGCTTCTATTAATAGTTTTCTGGTTCAGTGCATGCAGGGCGCTACAGATGGGAGTGGCCAGCAGGATTCAACAGAAATGGTTGCAAAAGCCGCATGTTCAATTGAAGAAGAAGCATCAGAAATACCTGGAGGTGATGTATCAAAAATTGACTCAAAGAATCATGACAGTGAGGAGGAGAAAATGGAAGATTCCCCTGTAATGGGACTTCTGACTGGACATAAGAAATCTAAAACGGAAAGTATTAGAACCAAAGATATTGAGAAGAAAGTGCCAAGTGAGAGCATCATAAAAAAGGCCATTTTGAAGAGGGCTTCATATATTGGAGCTAACTCTGAGTAAGTATTTAGTACTTTCACTAGTTTCTCATCTGTAACATGTAGTACTGCAGCTATGGTTTTTGTTAGTGAATATGTACTCTTGTTAGTGAACATGCAGTTCTACTAATTGAACTAGCATATCGATTCTTCTAATTTCAGAAGCATTACAATGGCTGGACTGCGTCGACTTCTAGAGGAAGATCTTAAACTTGATAATGGTGCACTTGATCCGTTCAAGAAGTTTATAAGCACTCAGTTAGATGAGGTGAACTCAGATTCTTTTATGATTTTTGTCTATTCTCTAGTTTCATCTATAGATTCCTGACGGCTCCATTATATGCCAGGTATTACAGTCTCCTGAAATCTATGCTTCAAAGAAGAAAACTGTGATGAATAAATCTCAGGATAGAAGTGCTAAAAGAGTGAGCAGTGATGTGAGATCAGATTCATCAGGCAAGGATGATGATGAAGCAACACATAAACGTAAGGTTGCTTCAAAAGAGAAGACAGTGAACAGTGAGGGACCAAAAAAACGAAAAAGGTCTGGGAAGGAATCCAAGGCATCTGCTAAGAAGCAAAGCAAGCCTTCAAAAGCTCCATCACATGACAACAGCGAATCAGCAGATGAAGAAAATGCATCTGACAATGGTGATTCTCAGTCATCGCAAGAAAAACCAGTGAAGGTCTAAACAACTTGGAACTTCTGTGTCATGTTTAATCAAAATACAGCAGTCAAATGTAATCTCTACATTGATTTTCATGCAGAAAAGGGAAGCTTCTACTCCTGCCCCGACATATGGAAAGCGTGTGGAGCATCTCAAATCTGTTATAAAATCTTGTGGGATGAGGTTAAATTACCTTCAGTTTACCCAAACCTGGCGGAACTTAATTTATGTGGCCACCCTAACTAAATGCATTCATTTTTCAGTATTCCGCCAGTTATATATAAGAAGGTGAAGCAGGTGCCTGAAAATAAACGCGAGGCAGAGCTAATAAAAGAGCTGGAGGCTATACTTTCTAGAGAAGACTTGTCATCAAATCCTTCTGAAAAAGGTGAGAGTTAGTTGTGGTCTATATGAAGCTCTGGACATGTTTTTTGTTGTATGGTTCTGTGAACCCTCTACCTCTACATAAACTTCATGGACTGAGGTTTAAGATCACATATTTTTACTCGGTTTAGGACTGAATTGCTTTAAGATTGCATGCTTTATGTTTATGCATCCCATGCAGCGAGGCTTGAAACTCAAAAAATTTCCAGGAATTGCTTCTTACAATTCAATGTGCACAAATCTTTCTAAGGTCTGCTGCAGTTCGTGAAAGAACTTAAGGGCATTGACCTGAGTACGCTGCATTTGGGCGACATTTACTGGAATGATTTTGGTCTATAACTGTTTGTTAGGACCAAGAGTTAAATGGACTCTGAAATGGAAAAGAGGATTGCATTGATCTTGTCTATCATCAAGGATTAGCTCAGAGTTGCTTTTCTTCTCTTGTTTGTTTTGCTGTGCCCCAGAAATAAAAGAAGTTAGGAGGAGAAAGGAGAGAGCCAAAGAACTTGAGGGCATTGACATGAGCAACATTGTGTCCAGTTCACGGAGGAGGTCAACAAGCAGTTATGCCCCTCCTCCTAAGCCACCCAAAGTACCTATAGAAAGTGAGAGCGACAGTGACGAAGCAGAGGACAAGGATGATGAAGAAGATGATGAAAATAACGAGGATGAAGACGTGGACAACGATGTTGATGAAGAAAGCCAGAGCGGCGAGGAACTCGACGACGATGGTAAGTAACCAAACAACCCCTTGGTCTAAGATAACTGTCATAGGAGTCGAGATTCGAGAAAAGGGGACTTAATCATGCTAATTATAATTCTTGGGTATTCATTCTCTGAGCCCTTGGTTAAATTGAATGCCATACGAATCACTTATGTTCTGATGGCATTCAGCTACATGTTCAGATCACCACTTTGATAGCGTGATGTGTTTCTGATGCAGAGTAATTGGGGGCGCCAGAGAATGATTTCGCTAAAGGGCCAGAAAATGAAATCACTGTCGGATCAACTGAAACTAGAGATACGTATCATCTTTTGTTAGTTGCTTATATCTCTTGTTACCATTTCACCTTACCTCTCCCGGTTGGTTCTCTCTTATGGTTGCTTAGAAATAGGTTATTAGTAAGGAAGGATAGTTGGTATCTAATGGTCAGTGAATCGGTATGAGCAGAGAACTTGGTCGCAGCTTGACTGTCTGACTAGGGATGTCAATATGTTATGGTGTAGTTGATTGGATAAATGGTTCAGTTACGAGGTGGAGCCCTGTTCTCTCTTTGTCTACTGAAGCAGTCTAGCTCTTCTGTTATGGATTGGGGGCATGGGTTAGATTTCAGAAGAGCAGTTTAGGTGTGGTTGTGGGCGCTTTCATGGTGTACTATTTGAAATGGTGAAATATTATTGTAATATTGAACGATAACTATTTATTAGCCAAATCTTTTCTGATTTTTTTTTATTAGTCAAACTTTTTTTGATTTTTTTTTATTAGCCAAAGTTATTGAAATACTAAAAATTAGTCAAATGTTAACTTTTAGTTAGCAATTTTGTTAGTAATATTGACTTGCCAACATAATACTAACTTGGAATAGATACGTGAAGGTCAACATTTCAACATTTTAGTATTTTAATTTATAAAAGAATTACAAAAGTATTAACAATAACGTCAAAATGGCTAATATTCTGATGCATTACGAAAGATTTAACTAATTAATAACATTTTAATAAGGTTGAATAATATAAAAGAACATAAAAACGTAATTTTTTTTTTTGACATTATTTAGTTAGAGGTCGGTGACTTTCTTGAGAAGCAGAGCTTTCAAGCTCTTCAGTCTTCAGATCTTAGAATGGTGAACCAAAAATACCATTTTACTATTTAATATGGTGATGTAGTCGAGAATTATAACTAACCCTTGCATTCTTGCACACGTGTCCTTATAATGGTTATTGATGAACACAATTTGTTGTTCATTAATGTTATACAAATACAAATGAAGATTGTGATCATTTTGAAATAAAGAGGATAATCAAAATAACGATTATGGTTAAGCATACAAAATCGACAGGCATCTATGTAAAGAACGCTATATCTTGTAGCAAAATATAATTATATTGATATTGTTGGATATGATATAACCCGAAACACGAAACATATACGAGTCAAAGACACGGAAACACCTTGAGTATCAACAGAGCATATACGTAATCAACATTAGGGGTGGCTATACGGTCCGGTCCGGTCTTTTCGGGAATATAAGGACCAAAGATTGGATTGGATACAATCTGGTCTTGATCCTGTCCGGTCCTAATTTGATCTTGATTTTAGGTGTTGGGGGTCTCTTATCCGGTCTTTATCCGGTTTCTTACCTCAAATCTAAACCCGAATATAAGATTGAATTGTTTGCTATCTGGTCCCAGTCCGGTTTCGGGTAAAATCAAACAGTCCCGGACCAAATAGCCAGCCCTAATCAACATGGTGAAGTCAAAAGTGATGGCTCGCATTTGGGTTTTTCTTGTTTAATCAACCTTTAGTTTAAAGTCTGTAAACCAGTTCCCGGCTTGACACCGCAATTAATTCGGCAGAATAATATCAATAATTACATACATAGAGATCGATGTGGGAAAACAAAAACAAAAAGATATTAAAGCGGTGGATTATGCAGTATATGTTTCAATTAACATCGATCTCAAATCACAGCGAGTTTATATAGCTGAGGCCGGAACTGATGATTCGTTTTTCGTCGGCCCCATTCATTTTTGAGATCATCATCAATGCCGGGCGGTGGTGGTGGCGGTCGCCGCCACCACCGGCAGCTCCTGGCCGTCGCTAACTTTCCAACCATTTCCATCTGCCGCTGCTTCTGCTTCGTCGCCGGTTAAGTTCTTCACGTCCTTACTCTTCCCCCACACAACAGTGTAGAGCCCGACAACTATGATCACCGCTCCAATCACGCTTCCAAGGCGGATATCTTCGGCGAGAACGACGGAGCCAAGAGCCGCCGTGATGATCATGCAGAGCGGGCTGAATGCCGTCACAAACACGGGGCCTCTTTCTTTAATCACCACTCCCTGAACGTAATACGCGATCCCCGAGCACACGATTCCCTGCAGCTCGTATGAAGGCAAGGGCTTGATATATACCACTGGTATTGAATCTGGAGGTCACAAGTTCGTTTCCCTTAAAAAAATCACAGACAACTAACAAACTTACGGAGTAAGCAGCGGCGAGGAGCCTGGAATCGAAGCCGATCTTCCAGGCGCTCATGTCCCTCTCCATCACCAGCGACACGGCGGAACCTTCCACCGTGCCCAGCAGGCATATCAGCGCCGTCAGCGATAGCTCCGCCGGGTACTTCTTCAACGTGAACGACTGTAATCACCAGAAAAATAACGCAATGAAGTCGATCAACGAATAAATTTTTACATGCATTCATGTAAAGACAAAAGTCATTTGGATGAGTTATTGTTATGAGTTATTTGGTACCAAATAACCCGTTTGTGTGCAAAAAATTGTGATGGATTATTTATATCGAGTTATTATGAAATAACTCAATAATGAGTTATTGAGAATACCACATGAGGACAACAGTTATTCTCTGAAATAACTCACAAATACTAGTCGTTTGGATGGAGTATTTGTATGAGTTATTTGGGTTCAAATAACTCACAATGAGTTATTTGGACGCAAATAACTTGTTTGGCAGCGTTTTAGTGAAATGAGTTATTTGGACAGTGAGTTATTTACAAATAACTCAAAACGAGTTATTTGAAATAACTTGTACTCATGTGTTATTTCGAAATAACTCATTTTATCACCCTGCTTTTACCAAATACCACATTTGCATGGTTCAACCAAACGAGATACTTTATTTCAATTACCACTAAAATAACAATGAAATACCACATGAGTAATAAATGAGTTATTTGACTCTACAAATACCACATTGACAATTAATCCATCCAAACAATCAAATATTTTTTAAATTGTTTTCATCTTTATAATAACTCATTACATAATAACTTATCCAAACGACCTCTAAATAAAAGGGCATGTAGGTAGGTATAAGTGACCTGAAGGATGAAGAAGGCGGACCAGCCGCAGCAACTGCCGATGAGCATGAGCGTGCCGGCGATCCAGTGCTGATCTGCCGGGTGGCCGTCGTCGTCGGCGGAGGAGGAGCCGTGGGACGAGTGAGCAGCGGACGGAAGAGACGGGGTTAGGAAACGGAGGATGGGGCCTTTGAAGAGGGTCATCACCATGGCTCCCGTCACCGTTATCACCGTCCCGACTACTTTCGCCACGCTGCGTATCTTCCTCAGATTCACGCTCTCCAACCTATTATGTATGTATTATGCGTTAAATTAAACTTACTACGTCATATTTATGAGGCTATTAGCGATGACTGGTTGGTGTATTAATATTTAATAATAATATTACCTGAAGATGAGTGCCATGATGAATGTAATGGCCGGCAAGATATTGACGGCCGCTGCTGTGAATGTTGCCGACGTGTACTTCATTCCCACATAATAAAGGTTTTGGTCCAGCACTGGCCTGATATGATTAAATCGTAATGACGTCGTCAACAAATCAAAATCACTAATAATGAAGTTTGTTTTATCCGTATACGTTTTGTTTGCATCATATGACGTAAAACATTTATTTAATTTAAATTTAGTTACCCCGTTGGTGAAAATTATTCATAAATTTGGGTTCCTTAAGAATTGTTTGGCCTATCTTTCTTTCTACTTTTTTTTTTCCACTTTGCAATCAGCTTCAGCACATACTACGGGAACAACGTACACCAGCCACCAACAGAAACAGCTGTCATCATATATAGAGAAGAAAACAAAACCGAAAAAGAAAAAACCCATTTCCGGAAAGAAACGCTGTCGCATTTACATTTGGCGATAAGGCGCATGCATGTATAATTTATCATGTTCATATATACGAACAAAGTAATTCACTGCGGATTATGTGTCTAGCTAGCTAGCTTTAAAAATACAGTCTTTTAACTAATTAAAACTAGGGTTCTACTCTCTGGTAAGCAACAATTTTTAGAAAACACCCAAAATCTATTACCAGATATTTCGCCAAATGATCAAATAACTACAAAACGGATTACTTGCTACAGTGATATTGCTCGAAAAAAATATATGAATATACATATACGACACGTAAAATAATATTTGTTGGAACCGCTGGTGTGTTCTAATAAAAGTTTCATCGTTCATAAAAAAAGGACACTACTATTATTCGAAAGCAACTTGTTTGTGATGAATTATCTCGAATAATGGTGGTCGGAGACAAAAGTGCATCGTTCATATCCGTCAGTTTATTGGCTTCTGAACCTAGTTGTGATTCTACCGGTTGCAACCCTAAGCGTAGAAGGACCATTTTGAGCTTGAGCTACATTAAGAACAAGCTCCGAAGTCAAATTAACGACCTCTGTTTTTTGCTAATGATTGTTTAGTGGGGGATTATATTGACATAGACTTACTTAAGAGTGCAGGCAACGAATACATTTTCCATGACTTTCAGGATATGAAAACTCGTCGTGATTGTTTATGCAAACAACATTTGTATCAGATATGGAAATGTTTTTTTTTTTTTGTGGGTGGGGTATAAGAGTATTACTCAAGAAAACCGAGCACCATTATTCTGAGGAAGATTGGGAGTGTCAGCTTCGGCCTTGTTTTCCTGTCGTAAAATAAAAGAGAGTAACATATATAATGGGAAATGATCAAACTAGTACTGGATCAACTTAATTTTGAAAGACACCAAATAATAAGAATATATACACGAAAAGAAACCTTTCGAGCAGAAGTGCAAAAGGAGCGATGACGATGGTGGCGACAACATGGCGGTAGACGGCAAGAATGTAATGGCTCATCCCATGCTTGAACGAGACCATCGTCACTATGTACATTCCTGCATACCCAAATTGCAGAAACACCATCAAAAGGTATGGCTTCACTTTCTCGAAACAGCTCAGTTGCTTCTCCCCCATTATTTATTTATTTATACTCTGCTCTACGTTGGCTGGCTGGGTAGAGAGAGAGAGAGAGAGAGAGAGAAAGAGAGAGAGAGGCTTTGGAGCTTTTCCTCACTTATGTGGGTTGGCAGAGAGTGAAACGGGGAGTAGGCTCTTTATATAGGGAGAAATGAAAAGATGTTGTGTAGTACAACAAAGAACAAGGCAGCAGCAGATAATTAAAAGGAATAGAAAAAGGGAACACGTAAGTGTGATCATGTACTAGAGGTTTTTTTTTTTTTTTTTTGGGTTGGTTTGGGTGGGGGAGTGGTGGGGTTGTTATAGAAAATATCACGAAAAGTAATAAATAGCAGTTAAGCGTGTAAGAGATCGATAAAAACAGGGACGGAGTGAGGATTTAAGTGGTGGGTTGGGCTGAATTTTTTTTAATGAGGTACTATGGTAAAAAAAAGAGCAAATGGAAAACATGGTATTAGAGAGGAAATTAATGATTTTGTACTCTAGTAGTACTTGCAATTTTCTTTTATTTCTGAGATAGTTAGAATTGTTTAGAATGGATTTAGAGTTTCATTTCCGCACCATTTTTTATTTTATGTGAATAAATTACAAGCAAAAAATTTAATAATAAAATTTTGATATAAAGGTAGAGCATTTTATTTATAAATTTTATAACTAAAATATAAATTAATATTTGATAATAATTTAATTGATAAATTACATAATTATCTTTTAGAATGTATAGTTACAAGCTTAAGAAATTCGTTGACTTCATGTGAGGCTCAAGAGACTTTTCTACCAGAAAAATAACTTAATTAGGAAATTAATATGAATATTAAATACTAATTAACGTTTGGCAGTTTAGGCGACTCTTCTACCAGAAAAAGAACTTAGGAAATTAATATGAATATTAAATACTTATTGGCATTTTTGGTAGTTTTAGGCATATTAACTAGGGATGGCAATTTTGACCTGATCCGTTTTGCCTGACCTGTTTGACCTGTTTTAGGGCGGGTCTGACCCGCCCCGTAGGCGGAGCGGGGCGGGCATGGGTAGTCTCATCGACCCGACCTGTCCTGACCCGCCCCATTCTCAACCCGTTCTTGTCTAAATTACATGAAAACTTAGTCAAATTACTTTGAATTTTCCTTTTATTGCATCATATTTTAGCTATAATAAAGTTGTAAATTAGTGAAAACCTCAATTTCTCCAATAATTTAACTACAATTGTCATAATATTGTTTGTTTTCTTAGTTTTATAATAAAAATAACGAATATTTCTAATGTTTTCATATAAATTGCATACCCATTGGGTCGACCTACCCCGACCCGCGACCCGTGATCAATTACCCGACCTGGACCCGCCCTGCCACGGGGAGGGTCTGGGTACCAAGAAACCCGCCCCGGACCTGCCCATTGCCATTCCTAATATTAACCGTTTTAGGCATATGAAAAGTGATTTACATATCACACGGCTGGACTATAGCAAACTCTTTTTTTTTAAGTTGATTCATTGAGAAGCAAATGGGCCAAGAAGAAAACTTCCTGTAACATCCCTAATCTTTTCCCGACGAAAATATTGTCCGTTTTGGGCCTCCACAGTCCACCCTCACGGTTTTCGAGTTGGGGTGCAATTCAAGGTGACTTTCCATAAGGTCTCCCATCCTTGTTGTACTTCACACTGAGCACGTTTAACTTTGAAGTTCTCACAAGAACTCCTCCATTTCACCCCAAAACGCGTCTTGTCAGTTAAGGTCGGTTTCTTACTTATGAACCATGAATCTCTCTCGTGCTTTGTCGATGTGGGATTCGCCTAATGTGTTACAGTTACAATCAAGGCACCAAAGTTAAAAAAAAAAAAGCTAAACCTAAAGGTCTGTCCACAAAATCGGTACCTAATAGGGCCTAGACGGGGAACCAAAACACAAATTCAGCCCACCCCAAACCCTAGCACCCGATCGTCCCTCTGGAAACACCACCGTCGTCGCTGAAAGAGCGCCAGACCACCGCTCTCACCAGAAATCTTCGGATCAACTAGAAACTCAGAAGGAGGGAAGGATCGAAGAAAACCACCAGCCCAAACCCTTCCTCCCTTGAGCCGTTCGACGACAGCAACACACTGGCCGTCACCCACGCGAGAACCACCAATCAACCGGACGACCGTCGATGTAACCAGAGGGAAGAGACTTCGGTCTTCAAAGCTCTCTAGCCGAGTCCAAGCCAAGAGGCCACATCTCTAGAACATAAAGACTTGCAAGATGAAGCAAGGAGGTAGACAAAGGAAGGGAGAGGAGAAAATCAGCCAGATCTAGGATAGATCCAGCCTCCTTTGCTCTTAGAATAGAACTATCTTTAGATCTGAAGACATATCAAAGGAAAAAGTTCGACCCACGCTAGGGGGAGGAAAGCAACCATGTCAGAGGTCAAGAACAACCATGATAATGAGAGGAGAAGCACAACACGAGCTGGAAAAAAAAAGGAAAAAGGGCAGAACAACCAAAGGAAGCAAGAAAACGGATGTCGTGCAAGAACTGAGAGGGAGAGGAGAAGGGAGAAAACATAAGGGACGGGTGTAGAGGGCCGATGCCGGTCGCCGGAGGAGCGCCAACAGCAGCCCTCACCGTTGCCCGGGAAACAGAACTCTTAGAGAGAAAAGTGAAAACAGAGAGAGAGAGAGTTCTAGTTACTCTCGTTTGTTTTATACATAATTTCTTAATTACAAAATGATTTATAGGTAAGTTTTGAAATTCACACAGGGAGGGGTTGCAAAAGCTAATGTATAGCTCCGCTCATGAATATAGACAACTCAAGTGATTGAGACCAAACATTCTACGACAAAGTATTTAAGTTTTACTTTTCAAAAACGTGTACCAACACCCTAATCCCTACTAAACTAATCCTATCCAACATATCTTGGACAAGAAATATGTTGACCACAAGCTCGAATATCATATAGAGAATGAGTTCATCCAAATAATTCTAATCATTGACTTTGGTTTGTAACTTGTACAGTCTATTGCAGTTACGGGTAGTCTTTGCGGGTAGATTTGCTGGTTAACAGTGTGATTGTAAAACCTCTGTATGGATAAGAAGAGGATTGATATAATCGTTGATTGTATTTAGAAGAAATAATTTTTTTTAATTCATTAAAAGATTTTCATTAAGCAGCAACAAAGAATGCAAGTGCATCTAGTTTCACAAATTTAAAAGTATCTGCAGCAAAAAAAAGAACTGAGCAATTGAATGACACCAATTTTACATTCCGAGAATCCTCTCTCTCTAAAGGTTGGTGAAGATTCCATCCAAGTGCATGGCGTCACCCAAACTAGGAAAATGGCCATCGTAACATTCCAACCGCAAAAAGGAAACCCTCATATGATATCCCTCCCTCAGAATCCCAAAGAAAAGAGAAGAAAAAAACTTCAAACAGAATGCAAATTGTGGATCTCTTTAAATCCAATTTCCATATATAAAGTTAAGAGAACAAAGCCATGTATATTATATATTTAATTAATTGAGTAAGTGGAGAATTTGACTCATTGACCACCAAATGACACATAGGTTTAGTGCTTCAAAAATGTTAATCTGGTGCTTGAAGAGTGGACACCAACTCTAGACCCTAATTATTATTCATTGAGCTCATTGTTTTTGTCAATACCGTGGCCTACTGATTTTATATGTTGATATTGAGGCAATCTTATTGAGTTTTGATGACCCGCCCGTGTGCTTCGAAATATCGTTTTATATTCGAATTTGGTGTAGAAATTGGGAGCGATTGAAAATCAAATTGTTAAGACGGTTATTTTTTTTATATCGGTTTGAAATCATTTTGTTCTTGATGTTTTTTTTGTTTCTGTTTAAACCGATTAAGAAACTATCCAGTCCATTTAAATCCAATCCGTTCAGTCCAAATCCAATGGTGGATTCATTGATTGATTCATGGATCCAAATGAAAAATTACAATTAAGTACTTATATATATTTTATATTTTACATTTTGGTAATTAAATTTATTTTTTTACCAAAATATCATTGAAAAATTATATTTTCATACCTGACAATTTTCATTATGACATTTTAGTGCCTAAATTTTCAAAATTTACATAATGATATACTGCCTGGATATTATTTGGATCCATAGATTAATCCACCAATCTTTTTGATCCGATCCATGAATCCACTAATCCATTTGATCCACGAGATCCATCAATCCAATCTACCAATCCATGAATCCAATTCATTTGCAACACTGGAACCTAAATTTCCTTTCAATTTTGTCAGCTAATATTGGATTATCACCACAAATCGCTCCGAAACGGGACTAGTAACATTTATCTTTCTACTAATTTTTTGTATTTTCTAAATATATGTATACATTTTTTACTAAATATCTATGCCAATTTATACACACGTAGCTCCACAAACACATCTTAGAACAGATGTACGCAATAAAATATACAAAATATTACAAGACTGAATGATAGGGCATAGTTAGAGGAAGTTCTTCTAATCTTATTATTTTTTTGATTTTATCTCATAAAGTAGCAAATGGGTGGTTCAATTATATATTCCTTGGTGAGAGTATTGTTCAAGTTTTGTTGTGCACCAATCATGCTATTTTTTTTTTAATTTGTTATAAATTTTACACATAATTTTACTTATATTTTAAAATCGAATAGAACTACAGCCTCCCTTTAACTTCATCCTAGTTTTGCCACTGCGGCGAGGAGTATGCGTGAGCGTCACTATTGGATAAAGATTAACAAAACCTTTCCTTTGGCAACTCGTTAGGCTGCCTGCCTTATCCATTCATTACGAGGAGATTAATCAACAAATGGATACTGAATCATCAATTACTTTATGGCATTATATGCATTATTGGGCTCTCATATTTTTTTTTATTGGCTACAGAACATTTTGATTCATTGCTTTTATATGAAATATTTTTCATGCTTACTTTCTTCTTAAGAATTTGTATATGGCAATTGATAGTGGTGGAATGAGTAGGCCTGAAAAATAAGGTATTATTGGTGTTATCGCTGTCGAGTGTTGGTGTGAGATGCAGTTTTAGCCACTAATAATTTGCAATTTGCAAACAAATTGGATGCGTGCTCCTTCAGCAGCAAAATCCTCTGGAAGGTTTTGCTGATGGAATCATGATATGCGTCTATTATAATACCAGATCTTTACTTCTTTACATGATGAATTTGATGATTGATTTAGATTAATAATGGATTTGTCTAAACTTCATTGTTTGTTTCATGGAGTTAGGAGCAACAAATCTGGGAACCCCATAGATAGACTTTCAGAGTCCAAATCCGTGGACCCCACGAACTTGAAAGTTCCACATATTTATTTGGGAATCGATCATGTACTTTGAACACGTCATTTATGACCAAACTACTCTTTCTACTATCTTTCTCTTCTAATACCAATGAGGGCAATATATGTCAGTTTTACTTCATACATACAAATCTAATTAACCAAATCCATAATAAAATCTATGAAACAAACAATGGTATTTTTCAAGTCCATAATGAACCCAAAACCCTCATATATCCATGGTTTTACATAACCCAACTTTTACCAAAACCTTCATTTTTCAAATCCATAAAGCAAATAACCCGTAAAATCAAACCAAGTCGATTAGTCCGACCAACAAAACTAGATGTTGATGGGTTGAACCCACAACCTCTTGATCATTGAATTAGCCAATCTCCAATTCGGTTACCTATGCTTCCATGCAGCAAAATATAATTCGCCTTATTATCATGAATGTCATATTTGGTTATACAATTTGCACTTTGCTATTGTAACTTGCAAGTCACCATTCCTTGAACAATCTTATAGACCTTTTAAGAGAAATAAGCGCGTCTGGATTTACAACTTTTATTATTGCAGACAATGGTCAAACGGTTGGACATTACCTTGCCAGTGTTAGACTGAGACTTTACGGTTACAAAAGAAAAATAACGGTCGACCATAGAAACAAAACGGTCCGCCGTTCTATTACTTTATCCGTGTTGAAATATGATTCCTACATTAGAAAGGTTTCAGCAGCAAACAAGAATTTTGCTAGCATTTAATCCAAGTTAACATCAACAAAAGCATATATAAATAACCATTTAAATTCTAAGTTGAGTAATTACATTCTTCTGGCTTTGGAGTTCGGTGAAGAAGAAAAGATGTCAAACATCAAAGGTATTTGTTTTTGTGCAACAAGTGTAGATCAACATGTCTACCACTCTTTCTCTCCAATCGGACTTTTAGAAATAATCGCGGGGTAAGTGTGCCATCTGTCGACCAAATACCCAATGCAATTGACCATCTTATGCAAGTAATGGTAACTTACGAGTCATACACAATACCACTATAAATCCAATCCATAATACATTTTTTAAAACAAATATAAGTAATAAAGATATTCATAAAAATATGGATATTTAATTTTAAAGTTCAAACTCTAAACATTAATTCTAATATTTTCCTACCAAATGATTATATAAGTAGAAACCTAAATTAAGGAAATGGAAACCTAAAGATAAGTAATTTTTGTGAAATGAAAAAAAATGTTCAATTTAGGATAGCTTCAGAAGATAAAAAAATTATTGAGAGGCTCAAAATAGTTAGGATCAGACATTTTTAAACCTCACAATCGTGAGTTTTCAAAAGTAAGACAACTGAAAATTCCCCATTTTGGAACAAAAGAGTTATTTAGCCAAAATATCACAGAACTTAGGATTGCCACAAAATCATTCGTGTAAATCCTCCATTCAAACAACATCAAAATGAGAGATTTGGACAAAATGTCTTGTTCGGAAAATCTCATCCAAGCAGCCATTACGGAGTTGCTAAGAGGGCCAATTCGGTTCGGCGAGGATGACCACAAGCGCTATCAAGGTCTTTCGCATTCGCTTGTCGTTGATTTTCACTCTTATTCCGAAATAAAATTCACAATAAATCAACAAGGATCCAAATAGATATGAATAGTTAATTAGGGGTGGGGGACGAGACGGGACGGGTGTTTGAAACGGGTACTCAGTCCCATTATGAGAGCAATCTTCATCTCATATCTCAAACTCGTACGTGTTAACAGGTACCCATTACCTGTTAATTAGGGATGGGGGACGGGGCGGGTGTTTGAAACGGGTACTCAGTCCCATTATGAGAGCAATCTTCATCCAATATCCCAAACACGTACGTGTTAACGGGTACCCATTACCCGTACGGAACGAATAACGGATACCCAAACTACTCGTATATACTCGTCCAGTTGGTGAAGAACTACACAAATTTTAACACACAATTAAACAAACCCACCTAATAATGAGAAGCTAAAGAGGCTATTGTGACTTGTGAGAATAAATCAAGTTTAGTCACACAAGCCAAGCACACCTCTTCTCAAGGCTCTAACAGCGGGCTGCATACCTCTTCAATAGTAAAACACTAAAACAATCGACTGTCCGGCTCTTCTCAAGCCTCTAACAGCCTGCTATTGAGGAAGAAATCCGGATATGAAGTAGTCGGAGGCAGTAGTTGGGAGTAGCAACAGCTGATAGTTGGGTTTTGGGCTTTTGGACTAATGAGTATAACGGGTACTCGTAAGATCCACACGGATATTAACAGGTAATTAACAAGTACCCAAAGTAGCAATCCTAGATCTCAAATCCCATCCTATAAAAAAATATACAAGTATTTAAGTACCTGTAACTCTTAAAAAACGAAACGAATACGGATATACCCAAATGCCAATTTCCCGTTGCCCACCCCTATACTTAATAGTCTGACCAGATGAGTTTCCTAGACTATTTTCAACTTGTATCAGCCCTACGTCGCTAATACCAAATGAACTAAAGGGTCCCCGATTTGGCAGCTCAAAACTAGTTAGCCAACCAACGTCTTCATTCTTCACCAAGCTTACTGCGCGGCTCAAGCTGACCATCTCATGTGATTACAACTTATACACACGGCTTCTCATTCAATACCAAGAGAACACAAACAAAATACCAAAAGCTTCAAGAAGTTCTAAAAGAGAAACACACAGATAAGAAATTCACTGAAGGATCCCTTGCTTTCATGCATAAAAGCAGTACAAAAGAATCTCCATTCATCTGCAATTAGAAATTCTTCTTCTTTACGTCTAAAATGCTACTGCCAAACACCACTAACTTTTTTCAAGAGAGAATCTCAAAACAGATATAGATAATAGGTTTGGCTTAAAGCCTAACGCATTATGCTGATGGGTTGTTTTAAATAGTACACCCGCTGGTGCTAGTTTCCCTTTGATTAAATGCTAAATTATCAACCACTACAGCTTTAACTTGCCTTGTTCACCATCGTTAAGGGGTCGGTTCAAGAAACAGCAGCCCCTAGCTTTCCCCTATCGTGTTGCTGGAGCTCAGTAGGCTATAGATTGATTTTTAAGGCACCACATTATTGATTGATAACATAGGGGGGAAAAACAATGGAGCAAGGCTAATAGTATCACCAAGAAAGCTTAGAAAGATGAAGGAATGAAAGAATCTGCAAGTTCCTTTCAAATACTTTCTCCAGTCAAAACCATAGCCTTTTTCACTCACTTATTAAAGCCACATTTAAAGTAGCAACAACATCGACTTCCCTTTCAATTTTCTGGTCAGCCACAGGACTGAGTCCCCCAGCTTTCAAATCCTATCTCATTGTGATCAAGATAAACCTTAAAGCTACCATCCTTAACTAGAGAAATCATTTACTCTGTTGTGACAGGCACACCGATCACTGAACTGCATCATGCACAAATCAGAAACTTAAAACTTGTTGGATACCCTCAAGATGCTAGGATTCGACATTGATATTAACCATATGAGGATCCAGGTATACCACTAAGTTAAGCAAAAGGTTGTCTGTGCAACATCAACAAGTTCATTTTTCATACGGAACTTCTAAGACAATTCCCAATTTAGATATCCCCTAGGATAAGCACAGGGCCTCAGCAACGTGGGAATGCTGGAGGCAAATCAATCATCTCATCAGTAAAGCACTCACAAGACATCTTTCCATATGAAAAAGATTTTACATACCATGTCAATTGTCAGCCAAGTTTGTTCATCCAAAACACGCAATACAACCTTTGGCCAAATTGGTGGGGGGGTTTCCTTTATTCAGTGAAGGCAGCTGCTATCTTTTTCTGTACAAGCTCCACGCCAAGTCGAGGAGATAATCTCGGCAGAATTTCCTGAAAGTGATCATGTCATACTGAGAGTTATAACTCATTGGTGGTACTTTGATAAGAGCATAATATCCAAAATGGAAGACACCAGATTCCACAGCCAGCTAGTGTCATCAGAACCATGGACCAGTCAATGAATATCGGCATTCAATAAAGAAGGGGTTTTGGTTAATTGGTCTAATTTGATTGATAACAAATGACGACAGGATTCCACCATATAAAGCAAGCTATAAAGAGATCGAAGCTAGCTAAAGGAAATGAAACATACATAATAGAGCCATGACCATAAACAGTACGGATTGGGAAAAGACAGGGCAAAGCATGATGATTTGTTTGCCATTGTCGGTAAAACAATTTCAATGGGGGGGAAGATTAGATGAAAGGCAGAGTGATGCGTGTGCAACCACCTAACTTGCAAAAGCTATGAAAGCTATAACCACCATTAATGAAAAAAGCTAAACAACTATAGAAATCTAAACAACTCCAACACCAACAGAACCAGAACAGCGTCTAGACCAAATCAAGCTTCAAGATTAAAGCATATTATCCAATCCATCAGTAGGGCCATTCCCAGTCCCACAACCATTTCGTCCCAATCACTTCTGAATCAGTCATTGGGAGAGGCATCCCTTACCAATCCCATACCCTAATTTGCACAGAAAGGAGTCGATTTGGGTGTGGGAACTAAGCAAACTAAGAATCTGGAAACTTTGAGAACTGAAATTGAAAATCAATATAATGGAAGAAAGTCACTAACTTGAGTGCCATCGGAATGGAGTTTGGCGAGCACGGGGATCTCGTACTGGTAAGCTTTCTCCCAATCAGGATTGGTGGTGATATCCCTCACCTGGAGGTCGATGTCGTGAAGGGTTGGAGGGTTGGAGAGGGAGAAAGCAGCTTGGAGCTTCTCTTTGAGGCCATCGCACAAACAGCAACCAGGCTTTGAATAAAGGACTAGGGTTCTCGTGTTTGGCGGTGGAGGAGACGAGGACAGAGAAGCCAGAGGAGAGAACACCCGCCGCCTGGTCGTGGTGGATTGCCTGCTGAGGAAAAGTAGCGAGGATGGCCTCACCGCCGCCAATGCTGCCGCCATCGCCGCAACCGCGAGAATGGTGGGTGATAGCTTCGAGCTTTTTGCCGTCGAATTTCCGGGTTTCGATTCGCCTGTCTGGGCCCGCCCACAGCCTCAAACAAGTATTTTGGAAACGGGCAGGAAATTTTTGAAATACCTGACTCCTTCGCAGCTTCTAATGTCCAGCCCATTATCCTTAATGTGAAAGTTGGGCCCATGTGAATGAAGCCTGGTCCGGAGTCGGGCTCAACGGGACAAAGTGCAAAATTATTTTCGACACATTTTTGTGGCCTTGATAAGTTGATATTCACTAGAGGAGACAAAACACCTAAAGAGTAAAGACACATAATTTATCTATTTTTGTGTTTAATCACGCTAGTTGCTGCTTATCCACGTAAAACTATGTTATTCACGTATGAGTGTAAATTATGTACGTAATTGAAAATTCAAATAATTTTCCTCTAATAATTTGTATTGGCTATATTTTATGGAATTAAATTTGAATTCTCAATTAATTTGTAAAAAATGTATTACATTGATCATAATCTATACAATGATATCCATTATGATATATTTCAAATTTTAAAACTTGTCTCACTAAACCTACAATCCCCATCAAAGACCAAGTGAAACCAATGACATGAACCCAATATATTGATACTAAGTTTTAATTATCAATCTAGGATTTGTAGATGTACTACTACTTAGTTTTATTATGGTATATAAAAAATAGATTTGAATGACACAATTAAGAACTAAGAAAGAAATAAAAAGTTTATTTGAGTTTCGGCTATAAAAAATGTCACTCGGATATTTATTGCCCCAAGTCTCTAGCCAGATTAATGATCGTTGATTCCCTAATTTATCTCACTCAATATTTATACTGCGCATAATCCTAGATTAGCCTTGAATCTTGATTAAGTAGGCCAAGCCCTCTTGAATAGACTGCTCAGTGGGACACTATCCACAACTGAGACAAAATACTAAGGCAATACAAATTAGATTCCCTCTATTGGACCGAAATCCAGTACAAATTAGTGAATCAATTCACTCTTGTGCAATCGATTCTCTACTTTCAATTGGCAATGCTCAATTAACCTATTCGGATATTCTTAGGCCTAAGTTATAACAAAATTCATAAGAATGTTTCTAGGATTCAGACAATTCATGAATAATGCATCAACTGGATATAAACTTTGAGTTCAACAATCTACGATCTCAAACAATCATCAATACAACCATACCGGACTAGGGTTCTTCATACCCAAGTGAGAACCAATGGATGTGTTTGGATTGATTACTCATTGACCACAATTGCTATGCGTCAAAATTTGGAATTTGGAATGAATGTTTGAACATCTAGGTAGCCAGGTGAGATTTGTGTCGCTCGTCTTGTTCTTGTGTGTTAGATCCCTCTTACCATGATGTGTAACATTCACGTTGTCACTAATGAGGAAGATGGAGGCATAGGATTAGTCCACGACCCAAAACTTGACTTGTCCCTATTGCATTATCCCCTAGTCAACCCTTTTGATTCATATGTCTTAGGGTCGCTCTCATGCTGTGTAGCTCGTGCTATGTGAGCTTGATTGTGATAAGGAAGAGAGACCCTTACTTTCTTCGAAGCTCCCATCATTTGAGCTTCATTGAGGTTCTACTTTGTGTGTCTTGACTAGTTTCCTGCTAAAAGGTGAAAGTGAGTGTTGGAGGTAGTGCTTAAGAAGTGAGCATGTGTTTAAAGTTCAAAGAATGTGGTATGTGTGTTTAGCTCTCTAATACCCCCAAGAGGGAAAAAAAAAAAAGAAACAAAAGGAAAGGAAGAAAAAGAAGCAAAAAAGAAAGCAATAAAAGGGGCAAATAAGAAAAAGGGAGTTGCCACAAAATATTGTTTATGCTCTATAAAGGTGTTCCTTGGCAGTCAAAGCTACCGAGACAGTTACGTGTTGTTTACCTCCTTCACTGTTGTGCCTGAAAAATTGGATAGCAGGTGTAGCAAAGAAAATGTGATTTGAATGTTGTTCGTGATTGTTTGTGTTTTGGGAATGGCAGAATGTATGACAATTGGTTGTTGTGAGTGGTTTTGTGTTGCTTTGATAGGTTCTAGGTGAATTTTGGAACCTCGTCCTTTATGTGCAACCACCCAAAAATTCATTTTCCCATGTCACCCTAGCCAGTCATTTGAACCCATGTCAAAGACCTCCGGACAATCTAGTAATGACACCCATCTTGTGAGCTCTAGCATTTAGAGGTTTCAGTCATGGTGAAAAGACGATAGGGCTGAGTGTTGAGTATGCAAATCTTTTGCATCAAATGGTCTTGACCCCACTGGTTGAGAGTGAGTGATTCATTCATGTTATCTTATTCATATCATACCCTAGTGAGGGCTTAGTATGCACATTCGTTTATTTCTATGACGTGATCTTTATGCATGTATAACTTTGGTTGGTGAGTCATCATTACAGGTTATGTGTTGGTTTGTGAACAGGTTGAGAACTTTTTTTGCACGTTCTTAATGCATTCGAATGTCATTTGTGGTGGTTGCCAGGATGCTTGTTGTTGTCCATATGTCGGTGCCAAATAGACATTGAGATCCATCAACTTTGTGCCCTTTGACATATTCCCGAGTTATTGGGTTTAGGTTGAAATATTACATTGTTTGAGATTGGTTTGCTTGGGGACAAACAAACGTCCAAATGTTGGGGAGTTTGATTCGGGCATAATTATACATGTTTTCACCCCATATTCTTGTGATGTTTGAGGCGTTCACATCGCCCGAGGTTCAATTTACGCTAGATTGTGCATGTTTTTCATCATGTTTCAGGTCTTAAAAGGTGGAATTGACCTCGGGAGCGAAAGTCTACTGAAAGAGGGCGAAAATGGAGCAAAATAGACAAAAAGGCAGAGATCACGACCAAGACGCTACTATCACGGATGGGAGACCGTGAAGAATGAGCATAGACTGTGTAGATCACCAAGATCCAGGAGGTTTTGCATGTCTCATGGGTAAGTCAGTTGACACGGTCACTAGACCTTGACAATTTCGGCCCCGCTGTGAAGATGATAAGTGAACCGACGCGTTTTCGGCCGAGATCACGCGCAAGCTTCCAGGACCACGGGCGTGATATATATATGACCGTTATAATCGCCCAACTGGAGTATATAAAGAGGAGTGAGCTTAAACCAAAGAGGGAGGGAATTCTAGAGTGAGATCGGCTTCTATTTCTTGAGCAAGAGAGAGAAAGTCATGAACCAAAGGAGGAAGAAGGAGTTTTGACCTACCCAAGACTTGAAGAGTGGAGATTTCTCATCCAAGGAGATAATCCAAGCAACTAGAAGGGTAGAGAAGCAACTTAACATGGGTTTTCTTTCCATCTTTGTTGTATTCATATTCTTAGTCATGGAGTAGTTCTCCAATTCACTTGGGTACTGTTAACTCTAGTCTAGAAATGTGATAGATTTTAGGAATTGAACTCTGTGTGTTGAGTGTGTGTTTAATATAATGTTTGAGCTATTTTTCATGATTCTTGAGTGTTGTTCTTCATATGTCAAAGTTAGGTCAAATTGACCTAGGTGGAGGAAATCTCCCTTTGGATCATAAGAAGCTAGATTTCTTAGTCAATTGGGTAACCCCATTTAGGGCAATTAAGGACAGGCCTCAAACATCGGATTAGTGTCATGGATTTACCGTGATTGGTTACTTTTCGCGGTTCCGAATTAACCACCGAGGGATCGGTTCTTGCAATTTTGTCTCCTAGCTTAATTTGACATTCCTTAATCGATTGACTAAGAGAGCGGGGTTTCCCTAGAGTTCCATTTGTTGCATCTTAATACGTGAGACTAGAGGGAGCAATACCCGGGGTGAAGCTTTCTCACAGCAAAACCTACCACAATTTACTTTCTTGCTTGCTTTCAACTGTAGTTACTTAGCTTTAACTCCAAACCGTTTGTTTGATAACATTTTAAACGATTGCAGTAGGGGTACATGGACCGTATCTCGGGTTGACATTTTAAAACACTTGTCTTATACTACACCCTACTAGAGTTTGCACTTGGGCTTTAGTCGGGATTAACACACTTGGAAATGCAAGATTCCAACACCAGTTGCCGACATTTATATATTCTCAAACTCCAGGCAGAGTGGAAGCCCGACTCAAGTTCGGCGAATACAATTACGAAACATTACTCCACCAAAGTCAATTGCACACCAAAGCCATAGAGCTAGCTGGCTTTGTTTGTTTTCGAAACTGGCAAAAAAACCGTACCACATGTCCTTCCGTACCTTCCATGCATGCCTGCCCCACAATGTAAAACGGCAAAAAATCAAACTGAAGATACTCTCCAGATATGGTTTCCGCGTTGAATTAAATGACAATGGCTGAATTTGGGCGGCCACAGTTGGTCTGCTGCATGCTACGACTCCATAACTACAACACAACCTTTCCTCTTATCCATAATACTGTAATAATGTGCAATCAGTAGTTGGTCGCTACGGGACAAAAGTACAGATGGGTTCAGATTTTTGGTCAAACCCGTAGCTATTTGGAGTGAAACATGGAAGAGTGGGAAGGTAAAGGAGGAATGGGCGAAAGGTGCAGTGGAGATGTGGTTTATATTGGAACACTGATATGTTGCATGTTGGAGGATGAAGCGGCAAGATCGCATGTAGGGATTTTGTTTTCTTGTTTTTCAGGGGAAGAATCGAATCTCCTCCCCGTTTTTTTTTTTTTTGTTGTTGTCTTTATCCGTACCCATTATGGGAACTGTTTGACTACTTTGCCTCGCAGCTTCCTGTCGTTGTGTGTCTTGCAGTTATTTAACTTTAATGTAGTTTATTTGAAGCTTCCAGGAAGTCGAGCAATGAAATTGGGTTACAGGAGGAGATACAACCTACGCATGATCGAATGCTCGGCGATTCAGAGTTCGGTCCATGGTGCGGGAGAAGAAAGAGGGTATAAGGAGGTAGAGCAAGAAAGGAGGCGGGGAGATTTTTGTTCATACACAAAATTCTATAATATTCTTTGCTGCCTAGGCTCGACGACGGGGTGGATCGGGGTCGGGTACCCTGCATCCGCAGTCCGCCCACGGTGGACCTTGGGTTTCCTTCATCCTCGGCCCAAACTGCCAAACAAGTCTGGTAGTGAAACCACCCCCGTTATC